CAGAGCCTGATGTAGGGCTTGAACTCATGAACTGCGACATCATGACCTGAGCCAAAGTCGGACGCTTAACCAACTAAGCCACCCAGGCCCCCCTTTATTTTAAGTTTATTTATTTTGAGAGAGACAGAGATAGCACAAATGGGGGAGTGGCAGAGAGAGAGAACCCCAAGCAGGCTCCACGCTGCAAGCCCAGAGCCTGTCGTGGGACTTGAAACCACAAAGCTGTGATGTTGTAACCTGAGCCAAAACCAAAAGTTGGACGTTTAACTGAGTGAGTCACCCAGGCATCCTGACTGTAGCCTTTAAATAAGATCTAATGTCTGAGTTCCAAAGTGGTTCCACTGTCCACTCCAGGTCCACTCCATGTGGTACGTTGGGCAAATTGTTTAACCTCAGTGTTTTTACCTGTAAAGTAAGAACAATCATATTACTTAATGGGAATATTTCGAAGGTCATATTATTTTGGAAGAGTGCCTCATTTATGGAAAATCTCAGTAAATATTAGTTGGCTAAATTTTAGTTATGTTTTAGTGGGCGATAGACAAAGTTTTCAGGATGCTACAAAATACCTCTGAGTTAAGAATTTTTGTCAACTGTAGGGGCACCTGGGTGGCTCAGTTGGTTGAGGGTCAGACTCTTGATTTTCGCTCAGGTCATAAGCTCATGGTTTGTGAGTTTGAGCCCCTAGTAGGGATCTGCTCTGACAGTGTGGAACCTGATTTAGATTCTCTCTCTCCCTCTCTCACTTCCCCTCCCTCTTTCTCTTTCTCAAAATAAATTTAAAAAATGAAAAAAAAGTTTTTGTCAACTATACTCAAATAAAAATAAACAAAATAGGCACTCCTGAGTGAGTCAGTCGGTTAAGTGTCCGACTTCAGCTCAGGTCATGATCTTGTGGTCTGTGAATTCAAACTCACCAGTTTCTGTGTTGACAGCTCAGAGCCTGGAGGCTGTTTTGGATTCCGTGTCTCCCTCTCTCTCTGCCCCTGCCCTGCTCATGCTCTGTCTCTCTCTCTCTCTCTCTCTCAAAAATTAACATTAAATTTTTTTAAATAAACACTACAAAAAACAGTTTTTAAAGGGGAAAAAAGAGTTAAGAGTTTTTAGAAGGAAGAGTTAGTAAAAATAAAATAGGGATTTAATAGTCATCGGGCAATGACTAATCATTCAGCAAAGTCTTTAGGCAGTCCTGAAGGGATGAAAACCTAAGAGTGATCATCTCTCGTAGGTCAGCTCCTTCCTGATTACACTCTAATAACTCACAGTTTGTACTTATCTCACTGTGGCATTACCCAGGGTTTAGAGTAAGCAGAAAATTTAGCTTCTGTCTCTTCCTGAAGTTTCTCTCAAAAATATGCCAAGTCTGTGCAGAGAGCTGGCCTGTACTATCTTTCTTCTTCTTTTCTTTCATTCACTCCATAGGCATTAAGCACCCATCATGTACATGGCAACCCGAAATGGTTACATTCAACAGCAAAAACCATGGGCAACCCAGAAACAGATCCTCATATTTTTATTATTTTTTATGTTAACTTTTTTTTAATGTTTATTTATTTTTGAGAGAGAGAGACAGAGCATGAGCAGGGGAAGGACAGAGAGAGGAGACACAGAATCCAAAGCAGGCTCCAGACACTGAGCTGTCAGCACAGAGCCAGACACAGGGCTCGAACTCATGAGCCCTGAGATCATGACCCGAGCCAAAATCAGATGCTTAACCGACTGAGCCACCCAGGCGCCCCAATTTTTTTTTTATGTTTTTAAAGTAAGCTCTACACCCAACATGGGCTTGAACTCACTCGTGACCCTGAAATCAAGAAAGAGTTGCATGCTCCAGCAACTGAGTCCACCAGGCACCCCAAAGTCTTTCCATTTTTATTTAAATTCTGAAAGAATCCATACACAGGACTTTTTAAATTAAAAAAACATCTCTAAGATGTTTTTTCCAACATATCCCTTATTTGAAAGCTGACAATGTTGAAATAACAGCAAAAGGAAAGCAATAAAATTTTTTCTTGTTGTGTTTATCAATACCATACATGTATGAATGACAGTGAATTAGAAGCTCTTAAACCTGTGTGCGACTCTTCTTTCTACCTGAGGGTGGAGCATAATTCAGGATTTGGCTTTTATTGATTTTTTGTGGATTTGTTCCTTTTTTCTCAAGAATAGCCCAGTTTTCAAATGTTTAGGGTATGCTCCAGTCTACTGCTGGTGTTCCTTCTAAAATCTCTTTTGGCTTTGGGCATGGTGCGCCTGGGTGGCTCAGTCAGTTGAGCATCAGACTCTTGACTTTGGCTCAGGTCGTTATCTCACAGCTCATGGCTTTGAAGCCTACTTGGGTTTCTGTCTCTCTCCCTGCCCCTACCTCTCTCTTGCGTGCTCTCTCTCTCTCTCTTTCTCAAAATAAATAAAAATAAATAAACTCTCTTTGGGAGAAAGCAGAAGATCATCAAAGATCTCCATCCTTTCTGGGTCTCAGGCACAGTGGTGCTATTGGCTTAGCAATTGTCCTCTCTTGAACCCCTGGGTCCCTGGGGCAGACATGCTCAGCAACCAGCCCAGGAATGCTCTGTTTGGGTTGACCTTGGACTGGCTGCTGGGGTCCCATAAGTAGGCCTCTGCAGTTTGAATCAGGCCAGCTGAATGTCCTTCCCAGGCTGGTGGGTTTGTTCTGGGATAGCTGAAAGTCTTTAAACCCCCTCTGGGAAAGGACTTCTTCCTTCCCCCTGGGGACTTCCTTTTATAAAATGGATGGGCTAGGAAAATTATCTCAGAGTAACTTCTGATAAAAGCGAGTAGAAGCTTCTTGTGGGGGCTATGCCAGTTGCCCCCTACTCCAGCCACAGCCTAGGACCCACTATCTGCCCTCCCTGACCAATCTCTGTGTCCTGGACTAGTTTCCAGACTCCCTTGCCCTCTGGTTTCCAGCTGGGTGTAGCCACTGGGAGGCAGGCACTTCCAGGAGAATTGGGGAGATTGGAGAGAGAGGTCCGAGTATTTCTTCCTACTGCTGTCTCCTTGACAGTGAGATGGTTCTGGCAGTGGTTGCTTCCTCATCAGCTATAGTTCCTGCTTTGTGCCCCCCTGCCCAGTACGCTAGCCCCTTCCTTTACTCCTACTAGTTTTGGGGTGATAATCTCTTCCCACTGTTGCTAATCCCTGTGTTGATTTTCTGAACTCTGCCCATGCCCCTGTGCTTAAATCCCTTAACTTAAAGCTTTCTAGAAGTTAAAAATCTTTGCATGTGCCATCTATTTTCCTCCTGAGAAAGACCTTGACGGATACAGTCATAGCAAGTTATGTTGCCTCCACTTGTAAAATCTCAAGACCTTTCCAGTTAGAAGTAGCTGTCTCCTAGGTGTCAACATTCACCTTCAACACGCACAACTACTACAAACTCCAGAACATGAGTCATGGTTGGCTAGACTGAGAGTTCTTCCAGGGAAGGGACACTGTTCTGAGTATAGGTGGATTCAGCCTCCCCCACCCCTGCACTTAGCCCAGCTCCTGGCATATAGTAGGTGTTCAGTAAATGTCTCTGACAGAGGCAGCACCCTTGGGCCCCAAGAGCTTCCACTCTCAGCTCCCTGCCTCCTCCCCTACACCACCTGCAGCGTTGCTGGCACCTGTAGGATATGGATCACCATGCTGGCCAGCTGGTTTATTTCTTATTGTGCTTGACAGAAGGAAGTTCATCCACGTGATTTTTGCAGTATCCAGAAAGGGTGGGTACAGTATGTCCTGTGGTAAAAAGCTTGTGTAGAAATGCAGGTTTTAGTTTCACCCCCACATAGTTGCTATTCTTACGTGAGAGTTGCCCCCCTCATCCCCCTAAGCCTTGAAACATTTTATTTTGAGATGTGCGATTACAGTCTATGAAACAAATGAGACAGGAGGTGGTCATGAAGAGCCCCAGTATGTTGTACCTGCGACCTATTCCCAAATGCTGCAGAGGAATTATTATTTAGTCTAGGCAGCCATGAGGCATGCTATGTTTTTAAGAAACATTTACATCCGGGTAGGCCTGATTTTCTAATATTCCTGGTGGGAAGCACTTTGAACCATAAATGCACACTGAAAGGCAATTGCTATGGAGACTGAACCTCTGCAGTGCATTTCTCGGAGTTTTCTTCTCTGAGAGCTTCAGCATGTGTCCTAGGCACGCTGCTCTGGATGGGGGGCCTGGGCCCTGCAGTGTTGGGGGAAGGAGGAGGCAGCCCACTTGGGATTGGAACCCTCCCCAGGACGGAAAGCTGGAGAAGGCCACCCAAGGTAGGGTGTGTGTGTCGGAGGTGGATGGGGAATAGGTTCTCAGGGTGTGCAGGTCCCCAGCTCGCCGGCCTGTGCGGGGACCACGTGCACGAAGCGCGCGTGGGGGCCCCTGGAGCGCAGCCGCGGTGGGTGACCGCGCAGCGTCCCAGGGCCCGGGGTACCGGGCGTGTGCCACCCTGCGCTTCTGGTTAGGTGGAGGGCCCGCGCCGCCCTTCCCCCGTCCCCCCCTTGCCTGGTGTGTGCGCGGCCTCGGCCCAGCGCCCCGCTGAGCGGTGCCAGAACCCGGGAAAGCGCGCGCGCACCCGTGCGTGTGTGTGTGTGTGTGTGTGTGTGTGTGTGTGTGTGTGACAGTGTGTGTCAGGTGACTTGGGTCACGCAGTCTCTCTCTCCCTCCTCAGGGAGGAACTGCCGCGCTCCGGCTGACTCCTCCGCCGGCAGGCGGGCGGGGCGGGGAAGGGGGCTCCGGGCGCGGTGGGAACCGCGAGACCCAGACCTGGACGCCGACCGCCGCGGGGGGCGCGCGGCCCTGCCTCCGCGGGCTCCAGCGAACCTCCAGACAAAACCCCAATTCAGAAAGAGGTTGCGAGCGGCAGGCGAGGAGGTTTGGCCCCCCACCAGGGTCCCCCGCCGCCCCCGGGACGGCCGGCCGTGGGAGCGATGAGCCAGGTGCTGGGGAAGCCGCAGCCCGAGGAAGAGGACGACGACGAGGAGGATGAACTGGTGGGGCTAGCGGACTACGGGGACGGGCCCGACTCCTCGGACGCCGACCCCGACAGCGGGGCGGAGGAGGGAGGTGAGCGCGGAGTCTCCCGCCCGGCCCCACGCCCCGCGCGTCCTCAGCCCGCAGCCGGTCCCTTCCCTCTGTGTCTTCCAGCCCCGGGCCAGACCAGGCGCGCGGGCCGCGGACTTGGAGGGGGTCCAGGAGCACAGAGTTGAGGAGTGGGGGTGGGGAGGGGCGCCCGAGGAGCCACCGCGGGCTGCAAAATGGGGGATACCAGGTGCAGGCGGCAGAGGGGGGACCCGGATTCGTGGAGAGAGCAGAGAGGAGGCATCTGGGCAGGAGGAACGTATGTTGTCTGTCCCCTTCCAGGGCCAGTATCTTCCCCCACCCCTCAGCCCAGCTCTCCGCAGGGTCTGGGGGTTGGGAAGGGGAGGGGACCGCCCGGCGCGTCCTGGGATCTCTTACTGAATGCTGCTGTGGAAGCCTGGTCAGATGTCGTGGCTAAAAAAGGCAGCCGGCGGCAGCGTGACTGGCAGGGTCGTCGGCAGCTGCGGGTGTCAGTCTTACCCCGTGTCGCCACGGGAGGGGTCCTTGGGCTGCCCAGGTCTGTGGAGTGGGGCATCCGTGGAGCCGCGGGGGGATGCGCGCAGGTGATGTGGGAGTCGCCGAGTGGCCGCGGGTTTCCCGGGATCCAGGCAAATACGGTTGTTAGGACACCTTATCTCTGCTCAGTGTCACCACCTGGGCATGGCGGTGCCTGCCCCGGAGTGAGCGCGGGCGGGGAAAGTCGTTACCGCTCAGAAGCAAACTCTATTTCCTGTTTAAGAAGCGGTATTTAGTAATTGTTCAGTCTGTGGGGGTTCCTGCATTTGATTCTTAGGGCCTAAGGAAGTTGAGAGTTTTTAGGATTCCAGAAAGGTTTATCTTTTTTGTCCGCCTCCAAAGCAAGGGAAAAATTCTCTATCGTAGGGTCACTTGAAAAGGTCAATAGAATCTGGCTGTTAACATCTAGATGAAGCTGTATGCTTCCAAAAGAAAGAACTAACTTCTAAACATTTCACTTTGAGGAAATTGTGTGAGGGATAGAACTACCTTTGTGACTTGATTTGGAAGAACTTTTATTGAAAATTCATTGAACTTATTTTAAAATTCCTACACAAAGCCTTTCTCTGGAGAACAGTTGCCATTATTTGACATATGATAGGTGCTATTTTCAATTAATCAGAAAGGGAAGAAAGTTTGAAAAAAGGGGGGGGGGCGGGGGAAGAAAGTTAAATAAGCCTTGGGCCTGAAAGATTAGAAAGAAGCTTTCTAAGTCACACTTTTTCATAGCGTCCTGTCTCCAGAGAGGGTTTGTGCTAATTCCCCATTTGCTTAAATTTGGTGTGTGCACCTGTGTGCTTCTTTCTTCTGCACTCCCCATAATTGGTCCCACAGTTGAGCACGTGGCCACGTTTTTGTGGATAAAGGCTTTCAGTCCTTTTGTTGGAGTCTCTAGGGCTACCTTTGGTAATTAAATTGTTCAGTCGCTTTGTTATTATTCAAATTGCTTTCATTAGCTCCTCCTAGATTCTTAGCAGACTCTAGAGATTCAGAATGGGGATGTATTTGCAAGATATTTGAAATGGTAGACACACAATAGGGTGCATGTGTGATACTCTTTTAAAAAAAGAAAAAAGAGAGGCTATATCTGGGAAGAAAAGCCCTGTAATTCGATATTGTCCTGGGGACCTGAGAGGTTCCATGGAAAGTACCGGAACTGCTTATTTATTCTGCAGTTCTTTAAGGGGGCACTTTTAAAATTTGATTTGATGACTTGAAATTGAAATGAAAAGAAAGCTTTGCCTGAGGGGTGGGATTTCCTGAACAAAGGGCTTCCCCAGAGCCTGGTCTTGAATGCTCCCCACTGCTCCTAACCTAAAGGCAAACTCATCTGTAACTGATGCTTTTCATTACTTCAGCAATAAAATCATCCCTCGTGAGTTCTTGGGATCAACATGGAATCTTGCTATAAAAGCATTGAGTGTATTTATGTGGTAAGAGGAGCAATTAATGAATATTTGCTCTTGCAAACATTCCTGAAGCTAGGTCTTTCTCCCTCTGGGCCTGCTGTGGGTAGTGGTCTATTCTCAAAAGACTTCCTCTATTATCTCAGGTTCCTGTTCTTTCCGTGTCCCTGACTTTGATTTTGGGGTGTACGCCCGACTGCAGAATCACTATCAGGGCGTTCACTTTCTAGAGTGGCAGATAGGGTCCTCAGTCAGCAGTTCTAGCAGCAATTATTCCTGACAGTGTCATGCCAGCCAGTATGGTCCTGGGGAGTCGAGATGAGGGTGGAGGCCAGGAGTTGTGACTTCCCTTTCTGGAACCTCAGAGTGCCACCAAAGGATCATCCCAATTTCTAATGGGCCCTGGGCACATGTTGCATTAGAATCCTGTATTATTTTTGGCGAATTACGTTTACCGACTCTGTAAGAAATGAAATGTGAGGGGAAAGGGACTTATTTACTCTAAGGAAAGATGGGTATGGTATATTTTGAACCATGAACAAAGCATTTCTCTAATGAACCCCCTTCCCCCTTTACCTTCCTAATGGACTTTATTTAATGCCTTTGCTTAGTAGAGACCTGGGGCTTTTCCCCTGAGGTTTAGAAATCTACCCTGCAGGTGGCATGCCCGACTAGGTGGCATGCCTTACCTAGGCATCACTAGGTAAGTTGCAAACCAGTTTATCAGGAGCTGTGCAGAAGAAGGTAGATTGAAAGTGGATAGCGTGAATTTCATTTCCATTAGTCTTGGAAGGAACCTCTGATCTTATTTTTAAGACGAGGGCCACGTAAGTTTTACCACATTGTGCTATGCACTTCTCCAGCTTGCACTCCAAATTTTACTCATGAATAGCAGGAGTGTTCTCGGGCACTTTAGTTCTGATAAAGACAGATTTGGGCACCTCTCAACCTCCCTTTGAGAGTTGTTAATCAGAGATAAGGTGAGTCTCACCTTCAACCTCCAGGCTCCAGATAGAACTCTAGAGAATGGAAGCAATCAATAAGCCATTAAAAAACAATTGCAGCAGAAATGATTTTTAGACACATGGAGTTTAAATCTTTAGTAAATTACTGTGCTTTAAACACTGCAATAACACGCGGCGCCTGGATGGCTCTGGCAGTTGAGGGTGAGCGTCCAACTCTTGATTTGGGCTCAGGTCATGATCTCACAGTGAGTTCGAGCCCTGACTCAGAGAATCCTTGGGATTTTCTCTCTGCCCCTGCCTTGCTCATTTTCTCTCTCTCTCAAAATAAATAAATAAACAACAAAAAAAAACTGCAATAAGAAGGAAAGCAGTGAAAAGATCATATTTAATCAGAAAGTGAAATTGTTTTTTTCCCAAAGTCTCTCCCAATTTTTAAGGGAAAGACACTATATACACTTGGCTAAAACAGCTGCTCATCCACAGCCCAGCTACGTGTGTGTGTCTTATTTCCACGGCAGCCTGTGAAGTCTATCCTAAGAGAGCAAGTGACAGTTTAGGTCGTTACTAGAGGCATGAAGAATCCACCGGTCAGCCGGTGATACTTGTAAATGCAGTGAAACCACCTGTTTGCATCTATTAATCATGAGTGTCAGCTTTTTTTTTTTTTCTTTAAAGTAATTTAAAAGTTATTAGTGAATTCATCCTCTCACTGTTCCTTGAGTGTAAGTAGAGATAGATAATTTTTCTCATGATAGTGAGACTGTGGCTCAGGGGTGCCAGGACTTTTCTGCAGCCACATGAACTACACCTGATCAAAGTTTAGGAGAGAGACAAGTTCGTGGATATGTAATCCCTTTCCTTGTAGTTCTGTCTTATCCAAAAAGAGTTGGGTTGACCTCAGCCCTGGCTATGCCTAATCTCTTGGGTTTCCCTATAGCCCTGGAAATACAGAGATACAGAAGAATTGGAATAGATGAAATACAGAATAGTTAATAGTGACCAAAGTCACACCTTAGACATGATGCTTGTCCGAATACATATATTTAGTGAGCATATTTTTAAAAGTATTTTTTAATTTTAATGTTCATTTTTTTATAGAGAGAGAGAGTGTAAGCAAGGAAGGGGCAGAGAGATGTCAGCACAGAGCCCGACATTGGGCTCAAACCCACAAACCCGTGAGATCGTGACCTGAGCTGAAGTCAGATGCTTAACCTACTGAGCCACCCAAGCACCCCATAGACGACATAGGTTTATATTAGATGATTTGTAAACATATTGCAGTGATTCATAGAATCTTGATTCTATACTTTTTTTCAGAAATCTCTCCCATTTTTATATCAGAACACATAAGGTAGTCTGATGGGGAAAAAAGAGGCAGAAACTAAGTTCTGGAGTTCTGGATAAGGGATGTAGCTCTGAGTTTGAAAGATCATCATTGTCAGTCCCAGGTGTCTCTCTGTTTACCCTCTGCTTCAGTCAGTCCCCTGACCCTCATAGCTGTGGTTGGTGACACGGATTCATTTCCTACCTACCACAGCCACTTCTTCTCTGCTCATTTTTCTTACTTTCTTCTCTACCTCCTTTATTCTTCCTTATCTTTTTTTTCTTTTTCAAATCTTTTCTGTTCTTCCTCTCTGCGAAAGCCCTCAAGCTCTCTTGTAACTGGCTTTCCCTGGTTCTGCTGTGATACTCAAGACAAATGGGTTTTTCACTCCTGATCTAAATCATTCAAGATGCTGTCGACTTTCTCCTCTTGAGGACCTTCGGGGGAGACTCCTACTCAGTTTCTCAGTGTGTAAAGTAGAGGACCACAGAAAACCCACCTGGATCACTCTCAAAGTGATGGTAAAAAAAAAAAGTTCACGAGAACTTCTTGCAAAAGTGTTGGTAAATCAGAACACATCAGAAATGTTACTGAATATATATGTCAAGGAAAAACTTATGTATGGGATTATGTTTTCAGTGACCTGCCAGTGTGATGTGAGAGGATTTCATAAAGATTTGGTGTTCCCACATAAATAAAAATTGCCTTCAAAAATTTTCATGCCTGGGGCACCTGGGTGGCTCATTGGTTAAGCCTCTGATTCTTGGTTTCAGC